CCCAATGGTTTTTTATACAGTTCCAGGTCTTCTCTTGGCAGCTCGGAGTCCTTAGGTGAACAATAGGCAATCATCGAGACTTTGAAGTAGACCCGTTTCCAAAGCACCACCAGTAATTAGCTACATGGATTAACATAAGACAATTGCCTGTTTTCCACCATTCGTAGGTGATTTGCTATACATTCAAAGAGAGATCAATACAGTGATCATTTAAATGTTAAGATCTTCTTTTGATCTCTGAATTAACAGAATACAGCATAGGCAGAAACCGTTTGGTTACACTATTAACCTCTAACAATATATATGTAAACACACAAAACCACAAACATTAGCCACCAATATGTCCCTAAAAGTTGAATTTGGTCATTTATCCTGCAGGATGTTTAACTAGCATTCCCAGGTGTCTGGTTTCCGACTGGCATGTCCAGTCAAAAAGGGACCCTGGTAGTTCCAGTCAGCACTGCTGACCATGTCGTTAAAAGTCCAGTTGGTGGGGCTGGCAGGCTTCCTACCTGGCTTCACGCAGCTCTCTGGAAGCAGCGACATGTCCCTCGGCTCCTAGGTGGAGGTGCACCCAGGGGGGCTCCATGCGCTGCCCCTGCCTCGAGTGCCAGCTCTACAGCTCCCATTGGCCAGGAACTGCAACCAATGGGAACAGTGGGGGTGGCGCCTGTGAGCGGAGGCAGCGCTCAGTCGCCTGGCTGCGCCTCTTTTTCTAGGAGCCAAGGGCCATGTTGCCGCTTCTGGGGAGCCCCCCCAAGGCAAGCGCCGGCCAGAGCCTGCATCCCGCACCCTCTTCCACACTCCAACTCTCTGCCCTAGCCTGGAGCCAGGTGAACCCATTTATGGACCCACCCCAGAGCCCATACCTCCTCCCACACCCCAACCTCCTGTCTCAGCCCAGAGTCGCCTCCCACACTCTGAATCCCTCAGCTCCACCTCCCAGCCCGGAGCCCCCTCCTTCACCCCAAACTCCTCATTTCTGGCCCCACCCTGGAGCGCGCACTCCCAGGTAGAGCCCTCACTCCCTCCCACACCCCAACTCCCTGCCCTAGCCTGGTGAAAATGAGTGAGTGAGTGAGGGTGGGGGAGAGCAAGTGACAGAGGGAGGGGGGATGGAGTGAGCGGGGCCTCAGAGAAGGGGCGGGGCAGGGGGCGGGGCCAGGGTGTTTGGTTTTGTGCAATTAGAAAGTTTGCAACCCTATACTTAACCCTTTCTGGCCATATGTCCCACCTGGCTGCAGGGGAGTTTGAACTACTAACCAGGGTGGTCAGGATGGGCATTGTGGGACACCTCCTGGAGGCCATTTATGGCGACAAAACCAAGCACGGTATCTACACTGACACTTTGTCGATAAATCTTTGCCATAAATAGCCCTATGTTGCTCATTGAGGTGATTTTATTTTGTTGCCAAAACAGGAGAGTTTTGTTGCCAAAAGTTGCGTTGTAGTGTGTTCACCATCACTGTTTTGTTAAGAAAAGCTGCCTTTTGTTGACAAAACTCTGTAGTGTAGACAATGCCTTAGAGATTACTTTCTCCCCTTTGCTTTGTCTGAGTTACTATGCTAACATTCTGGCTGTACCAGTTTCTGCATTCATTTCTTTAATGCATTGCTCTGCTCATTTTCTATGTTTAAAATATTTAAGTAACAATTGTTTAAGAAATGTGTAGGGACAAAACTATAATGTGCATCCAGTAATAAGTTGAATTGGTAAGTCATAGTCCTTGTCTACACTTCTGAGAGTTTGCCACTATAGCTATACCATCAACCCCCTCTAGTGGAGAGTTCTCTTGCTGGTACTGTATAGTTTATGCCGTTCCTTGAACAAAATAAGCGATACCCGCCCAAAAGTTCTTTTGTACTGCTATAACTGCATCTGTGCTCTGGCTTTCTGCCAATATTAAAATGTCAAAGAAGCACAACCCCTAACTGACGTTATACCGTCACAGGTTTTAGTGTAGACCTAGCTGTACATACTTTCATAAAATACCTCTACTGTGTTTCCTATCTGCTTTGGATAGAATTCAACCTGCTTTATGTAGATCAAAATACCCGTGAAAGACTTTGAACTGGCAAATAGATGGCAAAAGTGTCAGAAATAGGTCATTTTTGTTTGGTGCCTCAGCTGAGTCCCAGGAGGGACTGTGAATCTCAGTGGGGACTGCATAGGTGCTGGAACTAGGGATGCTGGGGGTAGGGCAGCACCACCTGGTTTGAAGTGGTTTCCATCATTTACAGGGTTTACAGTTTTGATTAATGGCTTTCAGCATCCCCCGCTATAAAAATTGTTCCAGCACCTAAGGGGGATTATGAAGAGGAGAAAATGGGTGGAGGGTAGAGAAGAAGAGAGCAGGAAAAACTGGGAGAGAAGAGAGAAAGGTAAGTGAGAGAGAGGAGTGAATGGCAGGAAGAATGAATGAAACACCAATTTTAAAAAAGAGGGAAGAGAACACTGTAAAGTAAAAAGGAAGAAAATATAAATAAGGGGAAAGTGAAGGAGGGAAAGAACGAACTTGGCAAGGAAAGGAGCGAGGGCAGCCCTGATTCTGATCTTATTTGAATCAGTTTTACACCAGTGTAAGGGCTTGTTTACAACTGGAGTTACTCAGGCCTAACTGTACTCAGGAATAAGAGTGGCCATACCTGGAGTTATTCAGGAGTAGCGATTGCCCTTTAAATGCACACCCCACCATTCCCACTTCACTTGCAGCTGCAGACAAGCTCTACTGACTCCCCTGAGCTCGGTGGAGTTCCTCGCTTTACCCCCCTGAGCTGGCGAAGAGAGGAGGCGGCCCGGGGAGAGTGGGGAAGGAAAAGGGGGCACGCTGGAGCAGGAGTGCGAGCAATGGCAGGAGTTAATGGCAGGGAAGAGGCAAAGAGGACGGAACGGTAGGTTGAGGTAAAAGCCGAGGAGGGCGCGTGTGTGCAGGCGGGACTCGGGAGCTGAAGGGAGAGGCGCGAGTGAGCAGGGCGGGGTGGAGCCCGCTGCGGCCCCCGCAGACCGGAGTGCTGGTTGCGCACAGAGCTCCGGCTCGGACTCGGCAGCGGCGTTTCGCTTCTCACCTCTCCCGCCCGGGCTTTGCAGCCAGCCAGAAGCTGCTGCCACAGCAGAGCCTCGGCGAGCGGCCGGGAGACGCCCCCGTGGAGAGAGCCCAGCGTCCCCGCAGAGGCGGGGTGGGGGGAGCCCCGGAGTCCAGCCAGGATGCGAGAGGAGTAGAGGGGGGCTGGGCCGGGGCAGCCCAGAAGGACTGTGCAGGTGCAGCCGGTGGCTGCGGTGCTTGTTCCCGAGGAGGAGGGGGCAGCAGCAAGCTGATTTCCCCCCACACGCATACACGCCGTGTGGCCAGAGGATGGGAGCCAAGTTGGAGCTGCGGCTTCTCCTCGCCAGGAGCCGGCTGCTGGGCTGAAGCCGCGGTCTGCGGGGCTCATGCTCGCGTGCATGTAGGTGAAGGGGCGCTGCCCCCGCCCGCCTTTCCCCGCCCTCCCGAGCCTGAACTCCTGCCGGCTCGCCCCAGCCGGGGAAAGTTGGGACGACGAGGGAGGGGAGAGCGGGGCGGTTGGCGGAGTGCAATGCCAGGCGGAGAAGGGGAGGGCTGGCTCTGAACTCCCAGGCACCGAGGCAGAGAGGTGGCTGCTGCTCCCGGGGTTGGAGAGGGGCTTAGCAAAGGTAGGTTGTGCTGGGATAGTCTGATGCTCGTCAGCCCCCACTGTCTGCCTTCCATGGGAAAGTTTGAGCAGCCCCCTAGGTGGGGAGGGTGAATGCAGAACAGTTGTCTTGCAATTGTTTATCTCCTGCTCCATCTCTTCTCGGTTTCCCAGACACAGAGGTGGCTTTCTGCTATTCACTGACTTAGACATTATCTTGCCTTCCACAATAGCTACAGGAACCCCCAGAAACCAGGGTGTGTGTGTGTGTGAGGGATCAATTTTTCTTATTTTTTAACCTTCCAGGTCAATAAGAAACTGTATAGAAAGCAGACAGCAAAGTGGGATGTATGATATGCCTGCCCTAGTCTGTTTCTTCAGCCAGAACTGCATGTGAGATAGGCTAAGAGGTGCATTTATTCTAGGGCTATTCATATTCTGGAAATGTGGTGGTGGTGATGGTGGGTTTTTTTCCCAAAGGTCTTTGTGCAAAGGTAGCTCAAATGTTAATTTATACAGAAAGTTGGAAGACAATTGTAAAGGCTATTTATGTTTACCCAGTGTCTCACATTTTTTGTCCACCACATACAATTTTAATATATGATATTTTTAATCAATAGCTGGGGTAGTTATGTTCTGTTAAACTCTGCTAAACATTAGGTTTAAATAAATCTCTGCTATAGAGTCCTAAACTATTTTGCTTTGCTGTTGTAAAGCAGAGGAAGAAACAGGCAGCATATGCATACTGCAGGAAATTGCAAAGAGATCTATTTAGGTTCTGCTGGCTTAAATAACATGCTTGTACTTAATTTTTTTTAAATCATGCTCACTAGCAGTTATTTTAAAACAACTCTTATCAGATTGAATAAAAGATTAATGAAAATCATCATGCATGAAGTCAGGAAATGGAGGTGAATGGTTGATGTTTGTTCTGGAGTCTGCTGTGATTTAAGGAGCTTCATTTGATTCTAGGTACATCCACTTTACAGCAGTCTTTTTGTTTAAAAACTGATTTATGCCAGCTCTTATTAATTATACCTCACCAAGTTTGTACAGCATTTTTAAGGATGTAAGAAGACGGTCCCTGTCCCAAAGAACTTGCAATCTATAAAACAACATACAGGCAAAGTGTGGGGAGGAGGGATGCAGCACAAGAACTTTGTTTGTCTTTTGTATAAATTATCAAACGAAGTTGCATGTTGTTTGAGATGTGGCATTGGTACAAATGCACGGTGAAAAACGTGTGAGCTGAAGTATTTCTAATTGTTCTCTTCCTAGGGACTGTGGATTTACTTAGTCATTCCCTCTGATGTGAATGCAGCATCTCTTGTCCCTCTGGGATGCCGTAGGTGATGCCCAGCTCTACTGCAATGGCAATTGGCGCTCTCTCTAGTTCTCTTCTTGTAACCTGCTGTCTCATGGTTGCTCTCTGTAGCTCCACCATACCTGTGCAAAAACTGGCCAAGGCTCCAGACAAACAGGAGATAAAAACAAGTCAGGAAAAGAGGGATCATACATCAACCAGGCCAGACAGTCAGAGTCAGACAGGCCCAGGGAAAATGAATGAACTTGGAAGGAATGGGCGGGAAGAGGGCACCAGAGATTGGAAGAGCAAAGGAAACAGAAATTATTCAAACAAAGAATCTTGGACTAGGCAAAAACAGGTTTGGAATAGTCAAGGAACAAGCAGTAAATCTGGGAACGTTCAAGCACAGGAGCAAAGGGATGGTGTTCCAGAGGAACCTCAGGCGGCTGAAGAACCATCCCTCCCAGAAGTTGTTGCTAGTACTACTCCTGAGCCTCCGGAGGAGTATGCCTATCCAGATTACCGTGGGAAAGGCTGTGTGGATGAGAGTGGCTTCGTTTATGCTATTGGGGAGAAGTTTACTCCAGGTCCCTCTGCTTGCCCCTGTCTTTGCACTGATGAGGGACCTCTGTGCATTCAACCTGAGTGCCCAAGACTCCATCCACGGTGTATTCATGTAGACACCAGTCAGTGCTGCCCACAGTGCAAAGAGAGGAAGAACTACTGTGAGTTCAGAGGAAAGACCTACCAGACACTAGAAGAATTCATGGTAAGGGCTTTTTTATTTAAAAAAAAAAAAAAGATTAAAAAAAATGGTGAGGGTTGTTCTGTGATCTTATGTTCTTGAAATGGTTTCTTAGAGAGGGATTTTTTTTCTTTCTTGTTAATATTGCACCTGCAGCAGTGTATAATTTTCCTTTTAAACATGACCTTTCCAGTTCAGTGAAATCATAACATTTTAAAAATAAGGGAGCTGATCTTTATTAATGCCTTTTGTATTTATAGTGTAAAAAAAATCACAACGAAGCCATTCAGTATTAATATGTATGTGCCCTGAGAGTTTCCACAGGATTTCCATGGCATTTTCAGCATTACATTTACTGTTCCCTTATTTTACAATGCTAACCGTAAAACTTATCCTTTGTGAAACCTATTTGCCATTTGGGGCTGATTTCCATTGTTAATAGCCAGTTAGTGACAGTAATGCATCCTTTAATCCATCTCTTTTTTTTTTTTTTTTTTTGTATGCTCAAACTGGGATGTCACAGTTACATAATAATTTTCTGTGGGTATGATTATGGACCTTGGTGTATTAATCAGAGTATGGTTCAGAGGACAGATTATGGCACTATTTAAATAGTCAATTTTTCTATCTAGTGGAATACTTTTATAGTGAAGCTTTTTTTTTTATTTTTAAACAGGAAACTTCACAATGGTGGAGGTTCATTATCATTGCAAATGCATCTTGTGTATTGAAACAGTGTTGGACTTATGGCCTGATCGTACAGTTACTTCCCCCCGCCCCTTATAAATTGATTTTCATTATAGCTGAGTTCTGTAAACAGGTACTGTTGTGCATGCACATTTGGGAGTGTGCATCTGCTAGATGGGGGGCCTGAGCCAAAACCCAGATCTGAATGCTCCTGAACTTTTGGGAGTTGGGGATAATAAAGGGAGTTAGAAATCCAGCCCAGAATTTTGCAGTTCATGCCTGTCTCTTATATATATTTGAGAGAGAAAATTAGTCTTTATGAAGGTTATAAATACACTGCTTGTCTCTTCTTTGGTGTCATCTGTGGTATTTGTGTAATCTTAGGAACTTATTTTTCTTTTGAATGCCTTTCCATATTTTTTCACCTTCTAAAAAAGCCAGAGAACGATTCTGATTTATTCTCTGAACAGAGCACTTTCTCCCTGCCATCTCTAGATGGCTATGCTCAGAACACTAGCACCGATCAAGGCATATGCCAGCAAACAGTAGGCTCATCTCCTCTCCTCCCTCCCTAAGGTCTTGAGTCTTGGCACAGCAATTTATTCCTTTCAAAGGTGAAGAAATAATTTAAAATATGGGTGGTCCTTTTATGGCCAGGTTCTGAAATCCTTACTGTTTCAGCACAGTACATTCAGAAGCAATGTCAAAATAATGTGCTTCCCTGCATATGTTGTCTCCAGGTTTCAACAGCTTAGTGTTAGAATTTTAATGTGTTCTTCATCCACAGCTTTCCAACCCCATCTATGTCTTCCTTTAATGTAAGAATCTTGCATTACTGACTGTAGAGTAGCCTTAAAATGCAGTTAGGTTACTTCATTAAGTTCTGCGTGTGGTGGAAGAATAAAACTCATGGGCTCACTGCTGTCACACAACAATCATGCCTGATAGCTTTGGAAGTGTAATACTGGACAGTGCCCATAGATCTTTTTCAGAACTATATTTCTTCTGTGTTTTCAGCTTTGTTTTACCCCATTCTGACTCTGGCAGTTCTAATGAAACGTTCCCATAATACAGTGCCATTTTTCAATTATTCGTGCTCTCTGTTAGGATAAGTAATAAGTAGGATGAGTAAGGATATGCGTGTGTTCAGGGTGGCTAAGGAAAATCACTAAAGCTATACAGCATTTTAATTGCAGCCTATATGTTTTATCATACTGACACTGCATAGCTGAGCCTCCACTCAGCCTATAATATCATAGGTGCAAAACAGTAGGCACAGTTATTTTCATATACCATTGCAATTGATTAAGATTGAAGGGAAGTAACTTACATGTGCAATCAGATCACCACTAAATGCATGCACAATTGCCGATGGAAATAACTGCACCCAGTATTGGAATCCATTTTTATAACTGTAGTCACAACTGTCTTGTGGATGTTAAGTACAGCACTCTCTACCATTTGATTTAGGTCAAGGAAGTATTTGTAAACAGGTAAGTCTATTCTCTCTGTATGCATATGTTCCATTAATGGGAATGAGTCACATATTCTGATGAAGAAAAACATATTGACTCCTTAAATGATTACATGAATTATGTGTATATATAAAAATGTGTATGCAGATTCACGTATATGCATACACAAACGTGTGTGTGCATGTATATATTGTATATAAATGGAGTTTGACATAAGTTTTTATTTAAAAAGAAAATCAGGGAGAAAAAAAAAAAAAAACCCTCTCCCCAAGCCATGGTAAAATCTGCTCCTGTGAAACTAGGAGTGGAGGGAGATACATCAATCTCTGCATACAGACTTTGCTTATATTTGTGTGTGTGGTAGTATCTGTTATATACTAGTGTTAGGAAGGAAAATAAATTTTATTGCAAACCAAAACTGGAAAAAACAAAACCCCCAAACTCAGAAGCCTAATAAAGATGTCTTCATCTACCTCTTGCAGTATAGCTTTTTGTGGGGCCATGCTGCAGTATGGCAAGTGTTTCAGCTTAGAGAGAACTTTTAATGGGATTGGGAGCAAAAGTACCTTACAAAAGAACATAGTTTCCCAACTGTGATTAAAATGGAAATCCTCAATGAAGATAGAATCGTATTGGAATCTCTCTTTATTATTTGTATTCAAATTTTAAAGAAGCATTCCTGTGATCATTACTGGGCTTTGTTACTCAGAGGCAAATTGGATACTTTTCTGTTACAGATTTTGCTTTGTTTATCACAACTTCTGTCCTGTCAAAGAACTTAATTTATGAACAACTCGCTTGAAATTCTTGAAGACGACAAATCCAGATGGATTTCAAAGCATTTGTGGTGCTTTGAAGGCACAGAGAAATATAAAGAAGACTGATATATTAATGCTTGTCAGCCTAACCGTGTTCATGATCTCTTGGGGAGTATAACTGGAATGAAAATGTTACTAGAAATATCAACCCAAGAGTAAATGGATATAGTTTTATGGATTTTATTTATTTATTTATTTTACTTAGAGTTTTCAGAGATGTAAGGAATGAAATATAGACTTCTGGATTTTTTTTCTTTGAGTTATTTAATCCCTGTCTTGGTTAAAGTACAAATAGAGAACTTCCACTTTCTGTAAGCCAGGTGGGTTTTTTTCCCCAAAGGCCAGAAAAAAATTGCCTAAAACAAAGTACTTTGGTATGCATGCTGGGCCAGATCCTCAACTTGTGTTAATTGACATAGCTCCACTGACTTCAACTGAGCTATGACATTAAAGAGCTGTGGATCTGGCTTGCTGCCTGTATTATGCTAGAATTTTTCTTGCTCTTCTATTGGGGAACCCTTAACTGATCCACTTGTTTGCATACTTATGTATGCAAACTTTTCTACTACATCTGTAGCGCCACAGAAAAACATTTATACACTTGTTCATAATCTTCCTTTAAACCCTCAAGAAGACAACTTCTTGCGATTTCCTATAGGTTTTATGGCTGCCTGGAAAATTAGGTCAGATTTATCTGCTTCTTATTGGTTCTTCTCTGTTAGCATAGGAAGATCTGCTGTTGTGATATAGTTAATACTTAGAACTTATGTAGTATTCTTCATTCCTAACTCTGAAATTGCTTTACGATTAACTGCATGATCTGTTAGATTGTGGAATAGTGTCCCAAAAGAATTGGTGGCAGCCCCATCGCATCAGCCATTAGAACCTATGCTGAAGTAAGAGTTCATCCGTTAGAGGGGAGAGGAAAATGGAAGCGGCACAAATGGGCCTTCTCCAATTCTGACTTATGATTCCCTGCTAATTACATGGTGTCATACCAAGGCATTTCCTTGCTAGACTATCTCTTATACATTGATCCTTATTAATATTACTTTTTTGGCCTCTTTCAGGCATTGGCTTTCTATAGTTTTAACCACATCTTGCCTAAATTGAAAAAAGAAGCAGCAACATTTGGTCCAAAGATATGCAAATAAGGGCTCCCTGGGCATTTCTATAAGGGACAGAGCTAATGCTGCTTTAACAACTATACTGCTTCACTTCTACTGAAAATGTACTTGACTCCTACTCTTGAAAATATTACAAAACAGAATAGAAAGAAATACTTATGTGCTCATTTTACTGCTTTCTTAAAGGACTACATTGTACAACTCTTTTATTCATGTTGGAGAGCTTGTATGAGTAAGAGTTATCCCATAGACTACAACAGACTCTGCAAGTGCTCACCAACGTGAATGTTTGCCCAATGAAGGCCAAAGTGAAGAAACTGTTGTGGCTGGAAAAACAGGATGCCTTAGCATCAGATTCTTATCCTGGTTACACTGTGTAAGTGTGGAGATACTACACTGAGGTCAGTGGATTTCCTCCAGATTTACATTTGGTGTAACTGAAATGAGAATTTGTCTCTGTACTAAATCTCTTCCTGATCACCAAAGTGCAAGGTGCTTCTAATTAGCAAGTTGCAGTGAAATGTGTACCATAGATCACATTGTAGATGTAGGAAATATATGTGGTGGTGTATCCAGGGAAGAATATACATCTCATCCGAGGGAAAAAAACGGAAAAAAACAGAACAAAACAATGTCTGAGGGATGACAGTGCTTATTAAAGGATCATTGTAAATATTTCTTTGCAATAACCTGCTATATATTACATGCAAAAAAGTGTTCATGACCTACTACTTGGACATCTGTTTATCTAGAGCGTTTGGTTTCTGAAAGGTATGATCTTCAAAAGCACATTATATTTGAGGGAAATACATCTTTATGAACACTTACATATGTTCAGACTTTAAATCAGGATTGTTTCTTTCCACAGTGCCGTTAATATTTTGTTAAATGGCTTCATGTTCTGGGCAGTCTATGCTTTGTTGAAGGCAAATGGTTCTGTCAAAGTTGAAATTCCAGTAAATAAGCTGCTGAATTAAAAGATGTTTTAATTTTATAAGTCTGAATAAATGTTCTTCCTAACATATCTTTTTTTCAATCTTGATTGCTGCTTCATTGCATCAGATACAAGGATATAAAAAGTGATATAAAAGCTGGCTGTACCATAGTATATGGAATACTTAAATGAGTATACCCTCTTCTTGCTGTTGATCTTGTCAAGCTGTCAGAGAGAACAGGGCTAAATTCACCACTTATTTAAATGTACCCAAATATTGTGAAGTCTATGGAATTGTGCCAACTTAGACTCTTGGTGAATTTAACCCGAAGACTTGATTTCTTGATGAAGTTTTATCTAAGATCTTAAAAGCAAACCATATATTTTGTATCTTAGCATGTAAAGTGGGAGAGAGATCTCCAGATAAAAATAACTACAGAAGAATGGTTTCTCAGTAGTGACCTGTAAGCTTCAAAATATTCAGAATTCAGGTTTCACTTGGATAAACACCCATAATTTCAGATGCTCATCCAGAGTTTGTCAAATACCTGAATCTCTTGATTCTATACATTGGTCTGGAAATAGCCTCTTCCTCTTCTGCTATAGCTAGGGCCCTACCATATTCACAGCCATGAAAAACGCGTTCCCCCGCCCCCCCATGAAATCTGGTCTTTTGTGTGCTTTTACCCTATACTATACAGATTTCACAGGGGAGCCCAGTGTTTCTCAAATTGGGGGGTCCTGACCCAAAAGGGAGTTGTGGGGGGGGGGGAAGGTTGCAAGGTTATTTTAGGGGGGGGGGTCATGGTATTGCCACCCTTACTTCTGCGCTGCCTTCAGAGCTGGGCGGCCGGAGAGAGGCCACTGCTGACTGAGGGTCCAGCTCTGCAGGCATCAGTGCAGAAGTAAAGGTGGCAATATGATACCATGCTATCCTTACTTCTGCGCTGCTGCTGGCAGTGGCTCTGCCTTCAGAGCTGGGCTCCCAGCCAGCAGCAGCCGCCCCTCTCCAGCTGCCCAGCTCTGAAGGCAGCATCACCACAAGCAGCAGCACAGAAATAAGGATAGCAGTACCACAACCCTCACCACAATAACCTTGCAACCTGCCCCCCAACTCCTTTTTGGGTCAGAACCCCTACAATTACAACACTCTGAAATTTCAGATTTAAATAGCTGAAGTCATGAAATTTACTATTTTTAAAATCCTATTACTGTGAAATTGACCAAAATGGACCATGAATTTGGTAGGGCCCTAGCTATAGTGCCATAGATGTGCATGGCACTTTATAAACAATTTGAAGGCAGAGGCCTTGCCCCAAAGAGCTTATAACAAAGACGTGCATTTTGTAGCTACAGGATTTTTTTAAGCTATAGTATATTTTATAGGGAAGAGCACTAGAAGAGGACGGCTAGCTGTGGAAGTCTAACGGAACCAAATTAAATGTAAGGGAGGAGGGCAAAGTGGAGAGAGAGAGAGCATGAAAAGAGGGTCTGACACATGAGCAAAAAGAGAGGAAGAGGTTAGTGAATGGAGAAATTGGTGGCAGAGCATAGAACATAGGTGTCTAGGAGGAGACAAGGGCATTGATGTAACCATGGGTAGCACTGTACCGAGATTTGAAAGTGAGGAAGAGGAGAGAGAGAAGCAGAAAATGTGGAGGGATTCAGGCAGAAGTAGCAGTGAGTATGGAAGATAACATTGGATATGACCGGTTGAATAAGAAGTAGGGAAGCAAGGGAGAAGGATGTTTCTGTAGTCCAGATAAAAGAATGCTGACACAAATGAGAGTTGAGGTAGAGTGGAAGGTCTGGCTCTTGGGGATTTTTAGTGGAGTAAGTGAGAACCTTATTTGAGGGAGGAATCAAAGATGACCCCAAAGGTGCAAGCCTGAGTGATCCTCTAGTGAGCACAGACTTCCTTAAGATTTCTGGCAATTCCACTCTGAGTGTCGACAGAGATCTGGTGAGAACAGCCTGTCTGACAGTGTGTTGGTGCTTCTGTTTCACTGGAATCTGGAATTAAATGGCATGGAGAGAAGGAGGCAGAACCTTATGTGAGCACTTCAGAACCTCAAGTTCATTTCTAGAAATGTTGGGTGTGGAAGATGTCCAGGTCTTAAACATGGGGGAGGGGAGGATGTCACTGGAAACAGTGTTCTAACACATTTCCTTCCCTGAAATCTGCTGTGTGTACCAGTGCCATTTGGGGTACAGCAGTAGTAATCACACCCTCAACAGAGGGGAGAGACCAGCATTATGAAATGGCCCTTGTGCACCTGTGCCCCTCCCTGTTTTTTTTCTGAAGGGTTCAGGTGCACTTAAGAGACATGAGGATGAGGGGTATGTGTGTGTGTGGGGGGGGGGGGGGGGGGGGAACAGGACAAGGGAGCATTCTGTTAAATTGTGGGGGGTGTTTTACATATCCAGGAAATAAGAATCACATGCATATCCAACTGTTCCTAATTAGGGGCTTGCTCCTGCTCCATTTAAATCAATGCGAGTTTCCCCATTGACTTCGCTGGGAGTAGGGTCAAGCCCTAAGAAAAACAGTACTTTTGTTTCAGTAATTATCATTTTTCCACTGTCCCCTCTAAACCAATCATGTTTTGAAGAAGTTACAAAGCATGACCTTATTTTTATTCCTCTCAAAATCTTCCTACGTGTAAATTTCAAATATTGGTAGTTATAGAAAATACCAGTTGGTTTTTATTTTTTTTTTTTTTTTCATTTTTTGGTCTGAATTTTCTGTGAAAAATATTGAGATTTTGATTTTTTTCATCAGAAAATGAAAAATTTAGTCATAAAGCCATTTTAAATCAAAATTACTTTTAGTATAATAAAAGACCAGCTCTAGACTATCCCCACATCAATCCTTGGAGCCAGGGGGAATGTCTTCCAACTATTACTTAATAGTCTCACATGACTCTCTTCCTCAGAACCTTTTGCTTTGCTCAATTTGGAGCAAAGATTCAGAGTAGTGCCTGGGGCTAGCATGGTTGCTGCCCTAAATTCAGACTGCAGCAGCCCTACTTTTGTCTGAATAACTGTGGAAGACAAGATGCATGTAAAAGAGACAGAGGCAAAGAAAGGCATTATGCTGCCTGGGAGAGAATATTGAATGGATGAATTAAAAAATGAATGGATTTGTGTTTCAGGTTTCCCCATGTGAGAGATGCCGTTGCGAAGCCAATGGTGAAGTGCTGTGCACAGTGTCTGCTTGTCCTCAGACTGAATGTGTGGATCCAGTGTATGAGCCAGATCAATGCTGCCCCATCTGCAAAAATGGTAGGTAACTAATGCAACATCCAGATGGTTTTCTTTCTCAGAGAGCTACCAGTTGCTCAAATTTCTTTGAATGAAAGTTGATTGTCCAAGCAAATGTGCAGAAATATAAGAAAGCTCTGTTGTGTTGAAGGGAATGTTTTCCTTGACCTGGATAGATTTTATAATGATCCACAAAGATTTTGTTGCCCGAGAATCATGTGTGGCATCAACACCAGTCTCTGGTTGTGTGTTCTGCATATGTTCATTGTGGATGTGACTTGTGTGCCATATCAAGTCTAGGCCCTTGATTCTTCCCAACTGTAATGCCCAGTGGCTGAGGCAGGTTAGGCAGCAGTCCTGAGTTCTAGTCAATGGTGCATGAGTGGTTGGGTAGCCAGCTGGTCAATCCGTATTGCAGGCAGTCCAGAGCAATGGTCTGAGTTTGCACAGGGGTCAGTAGCTGGCGGATCCAATCCAAGGGGCTGGGTCAGTTTGTTTAGGGAGGCAGGATCAGGCGAGACAGCAGGGCAACAAGATAGGGTCAGTAGGAACAGCAAGGCAGTCTAGGCAGCAGGCAACGGCCTGTTGCTCAGTCAGCTTCCTCTTCCAGTTGGGGCCTTTGTATAGTCCAGGCACCCAGTGAGAATGCTGCCTGTCCATCCAATCGGGGTCTGGGGTGTGGCTGCGGTAGGCTTGTAGCATTAGAGCTGTTGGTCAGGCGCAGCTGTTCAGCGCATCGTCTAAGGATGCTCCCTAAGGATTGGTGGCAATATTGGGGTCCTGACACCAACTTTCCATTATTGAGAAGTAGAACTTACTTTTATTTTACCTTCATATTTCTTCCCTTGGAGAGAGGGTTTTTTTTCCTCCTGAGGCAATCAAATGTACCTTTGTTGAGCTCATTTAATTTTCATAACTAAATGAATTAAACTTCCATGTTTAATTGAATATTCTTTGTAACTAAAGTAGGTAGAAAATCTCTACTCCCAGCAAGGCTTGCATTAGATCAAAGTCTTGATCTATTTAGAAGAAGAAATTATGAGATACTCCAGTTCACCATTTATAAAAAAGAAATAACTTCTTATTAATAAAAATGAATACTGCAGTATCAAATGAAACTATATTTAAAATGAGAAAAGCATTTAAAATTATTCAGATAATTTTGCAGTCCTATGTTATTTCTGTATAATATATAGGGCCATTACATTAGCTAAAACAAACTAATGAAAACTGTGCAAAAGCTAGATGGAGAGAGACTATAGAACTCTCTTAAGTTACGTCTACACTGCACACTTCTTTTGGCACTGCTAAGAGTGCATAGACTGAATGCACCCCTAGCCTGGGTATAAATAGCAGTGTAGATGATGAGGCACTGCTTAGGTGAATAGCACAAAGATGCATCTGAACCTGTGGGTATGTACCCTACACGGCTCACTACTCACCCAAGCAGTGCCTCCCCATCTACGCTGCTAGTTTAAGCAGTGTGGTGTCCCACTGCTGAGTCTTTCCCTCCACCCAGAAAGATTCCATCCGCGGGGACTCTGGCAGCGGGGAAAGGCTCGAGGAGCTCCTTCCTAGGTGTTGACCACTGTCCAAGACAGGATACAGGACCTGAGTGTGTGACACATTAGTTTAGGAATGACGGGAGACACGCCCATAGGGGTATTTGCTTTCAGTATCTGCTGTATTGTTTGTAGCTCCTAGCACAGACTGGTGGTGGCAGGGAGGAAGCCTGTCCCAGGGTAAGTCTACACAGCAGCTGGGAGATGTGATTCCCAGCATGGATAGACATACACGCACTAGCTCCGCTATTTTTAATGCGTTAGCTCAAGCAGAGTGGCTGGAGTGGCACAGGCGGCGGCTCAGCATATGCCAGAGTATGTACCCAGAGAGTTGGGTGGGATCGATCTTGGATAGCTAGTCCAAGTGGCTGCCCGTGCCGCTTCAGGTACACTGCTATTTTTAGTGCACTAGCATGAGCAGAGCCAGCACACACGTGTCTCCCGAAGCTGGGAATCTCACTTCCCAGCTGCTGTGTAAATATACTCTCTGAGGGTTTGGGTTAGAAGAGCAATACACTACATACACATCATCCTTTCCAATGGATTTCCCAGGAGGCATTAACGCAGCTCTAAGCAGCAGTAAAACTCCCGCGTGATGATTTTTTTCCCCTCAGACAAAACGGTAGTGCAAAGTGGTGGGTACCTACCAACGATAGCTTGACTGTGAATGAGCCAGGAGGAGGAAGTGGGGCAGGATCTGGCTCTCTGAATGGATTCCCTGAGACCAGCAGATTTCCTGACACACTTTGTTAGAGGATTGAACACCCTGCCCCAAGAGAGCAGACCTCTGTACTCATAAGCCTCCCTCCCCTCAGAGAGGGTGGTGCTCAGAAAGTGCACATAAGGAACCAGGCTGAGTTTCTAACCGAGTTATCCCCTCCTGTAAGAAAGGGTGATGGGAGCCCTATGATCCTGAACACTGAATGTTTCTCTGTAATTGTAACCACATGTGCCTTGTATATTCTAGTGTAGAGACCGGCGACACTGACATAATTTCAGACAAAAATTGCTGGAGATGTTGGTTTCCAATGAGCTGTTCTGACATTAACAGAAGCAATCAGAAACTGAGAATATTTTTCCTTTTTAGGTTTTAGACAAGGAAAAATGCTATTAAACATAACAAAAACAAGACAGTTCGTGAGAGGCTTAGCTTTTCTGGTTCAGTGAAGAAGTTCATAAAGAAGCTCCTCTGTATGGAATTTGGTTTTAAAAATATCAGGGTCCTTGCTGTCAAAGCAGGGATGTAGCTGTTTAGGAGTATGGCACCTGCACAGTTTGAAATTGTTTGCCTTCGCAGGCAGAAAAGGAATATCGGTGAATGTTTTAAATTAACGTCTGGGCAAACTGATCAGCTAGGAAAGCTTACCCTGCCTCATCAGTCATATGCAAGCCTGGTGATACAAATTCACTGTGGATATGCATCACAATATTTCATTGCAAAGTTGCTCACAATATGATTGTCATCACATCACCTCGCTGACCCAGAAGGCCCTAGCTGAGCACATGGGGAAGGCCATCCCTGCAACCTGGGAGGAGAGAGACCACCAGCTGAATGTGGAAGCAGCTATTATGGAGTACCCTACAGCCCAGAAGGCCATAGAGGAGCGAGCAGGCTACTTTCACACAACCCTCTCCATAAGAGACTTGTGCTCTCATTCCCTGTCCTTGAAGTGAGTACAGGAGGAAAAGATTAGATTTAGGTTCTGGAAATTTCCTGATTTTTGTGGCAAACAGCAAAATCCAAACTCAAACTTACCTTGGTTTTCCTGGCACTTAGTGATACACAGCAGTTCCCCAACCCTCCCTGGCTAGAGAGCTCACTGTCAGTGCAACAAGAGACAGAGACATGCCCTTTGCAAATAAGACCATGTACACAGGTATGGGACTAATGAGTGTGGAGAATGGTTAGTGAAAGCATGACTTACATGGAGATGAGCAAATTCAGTCTGTACTCAGGGCCGGTGCAACAACTAGGCGGCCGCCGAGGGTGCCAAGATTTGAGGGCGCCAAAAAGCGGTGCCCAAAATGTCTGGGATGCTCACCCGGTGCCGGCTAAATGTGTAACCCTCTTCCTGCCGCTGTGCGAGGGGGCGCTGCGGCTTTGATAAGCTCTGGCTGGCCGGGAAGTGATGTCATTCCTCATCTGGCCGCCGGGGGCGCTGCGCTGCTCCCTGCTGCTCTGGCTCTTCCCCAGGGCCCCGCCCCAGCCCCACTCCCCTGAGCTCTGCAGCAGGGCCAGGCCTGCACTCAGAGACCCGGCCCCAGCCGCGCTGCCGGTGAGTGCTGGGGGGTGGTTCCCCCCTGCCCTGCAAGCCAGCCATGCCCCCCCCCCCACGGAAGCCTGGGGCCCCCCCCGCTCCCACCCCCCCCCGGAGGCCTAGAGCACCACCCACCCCTCGTGGGGGGGGGGGGGCTGCGTAGGGCCTCAGAATATCTAGGGACAGCCCTGGTACCCGCCACCCTGCCCGAGGCCAGCCCCTGCTGCACCCCCTGCCCTGCCCGATGCCAGCCCCATACCCCGTCTCCAGCCAGCCCCTGCTGCACCCCCCCGCCCTGCCCGCAGCCAGCCAGCCCTGCACCCCCCCTGTCTCCAGCCAACCCCTGCCGCACTCCCCTGCCTGAAGCCAGCCAGCCCCACACCCTGTCAGGTTATTCATTTATTTTCATTAAATATGTAGATTAAATAATGAAATTAATAAATTTTCAAGCCGAATGTGTATGTATTCTAATGAACAATGCCACATTATGCAGTATTCATTTTTGAAAGTTTATAATAAGCAATGCTCCGGGGGGAGGTGAGGGTGGGGGTGGGGGGCACAAGGTGGAAGTTTTGCCTAGGGCGCAAAATATCCTTGCACCGGCCCTGTCTGTACTCCTGCAGGAATATGGAACGCTGCACATGGGATGGGGAGTCCTGCCATGCTCTAGCACCATCTTGGCACGCTATCAAATAAGAGACAGGTGACTTTACATTTGGTAAATTTAACTGTTCACATACGCACAAGTACAACTGGTGCATTGAACGTGACGAGAAAAGAGAATGGAAAATCTGCTAAATAGCTAAGAATAAACGTCTTATTTTAAGTCTCTCTCCACTAGTCAAGAAGGAAATTGGGTATTTTGATATCTGGGAACATTTGGATGTAGGTAAATAATAATGCTCTTTCTTATGGAAAGGAAAAGGCATAAAGAGCAGCTCTGCTCTGAACAGCAATCACAATATGTAAAAATGGTACCTTCTTACTCAAAGGTTCTGCTCCCCGTGTGCACTGAGTTCTATCTTATTGGTTTAGTGTCCAAAATAAGTTTCGCTGCTTTTTGTTTCTGTTAGCCCTACAGAGACATCATGGCTGAGAGCGAGCGAGCTGTGTTTTTTCCTTCTTGTGCATCAACAGAATTAATGCATGGTGGGTGAGGTAATATCTTTTATTGGAACAGTTTCTGTTGGTGAGAGAAATGAACTTTCAAGCGACACCGAGCTCTTCTTTGGGTCTGGGAAAGGTACTCAGAGTGTCACAGCTAAATACAAAGTCGAACAGAAACTTTAGTGTAAGTAGTTACAACGTATTCTAAGGGACCATTCAAGGTAAAGTGGCCCATTAACTCCCTATAGTCATAGCCCAAAAGGGGCATTAGAGGGTTACAGATTGTTGTAATAAACCATAAATCCACAATTTTTAGTGTCCTAGCATGGTTATGAATTTAAGCTCCCAGGCTCGTCTTTTGAAATTGTTGTACAGGTTTCCTTTGAGGATGAGAAGTGATAGGTGAGATATAGAGTGATCACTTTGTGAAAAGAATTAATGTACTAAGTTCCACTTGCAAGGCAGTCAATAACTCTAGGCATAATTTGGTCATCTGAACCTTTAACAAAAATAGTGAAGCAAAAAGAGAGAGATCACCTCCTACGAGATGGGACTAGACTGCCTGAGCCCAGGGTTGGCAGTTGTGGGGGCAGGAAGAGTAATCCTCTTTATTTACAAACTGAATACATTTTTTCTGGAAGTCACTGAGACACAATAAACAGGGAAATTCAGGATACTTTTCAGACAACTTATAGGTAGGGAGTAAAGGTTAAATATGGCAAATACATAGCTTTCGATGAATAATTCAAGTAGGTCAAGTTTACACTGATTGGTAAGGAAAAATAACACCAGGGAAGTGCAATTTCTTGTGAAAATCCTCTGCAGATTCTTGACCAAGATAATGGACCAATCTCAAAGAATCTATCTCAGATTTTACACAGGACCTTGCACATGCTGGGACGGGACTTGTGGAGTTATAGGGAAAGCTGAGTTGCCAGAGAGTCTGGACAGTTTTTGTATATATTATGATTGCATCTATGTACACAGTCAAATCAAGCACGTTAATTTAAGTGTCTTAGCCATTCAGTAGCTGAGGGAAGGGTGTTGTGCAAGTCCATGAGGGAACCAGGCAATCCTTGCCGTTGGATGTAGCCTGCAAGTATGTGAGCTACATCTTCTAATTGGCCACAACTGCAAAGGTGGGAGTGACAGAGGCCTCACTTATGGTCATCAGCAGCACATCTGGTCACTCCACATCTGAAGTGATTGTGCTTTACCCAAAAGTGGTGTGGAAAATCGAAACCAGGGTTCTGGACTGTTGGATCTGTCACAAGATAGTCATTGGCTGTGTTTGAATCTTGTTCTTGCAACCTGGAGGGGATGTTGAGGTTCCTTAGGGGAATTGTCCAAATGGAGTGCCTTGAGCTGAGGAGGTGGCTTGGTGGATTAAACACATCTCTAAGCAGGGATAGATATGGCATGTCTTGCACCTTAAGGAGCAGATTCTCCATGGTGACTTGTTGCCTAATATCAGGAGAGTTGATGTTGGTCAGGACTGGCAGCCAGGCCAAGTTAATTGGTCTCAGAGTACCTGTTATACTCATGGGTTTGTTCAGCTGAGTATCGACTAGTCCTATGTGAAAAGAGTTGAACTGCATCGGGGGCGGGGGGGTGATATTCTGCTACAAAATAGCACAAGGCAAGCCCAGAGTTTTTCAATGTCTGCTCATTGGCTCCCCAGGAAGAACCAGCTAGTTTGCTGATCAGACTGTCTCTCTCTTCTTTGTTTTCAATGAGGTCTCGATAAGATGCTCCTTAAAATTCAAGGTATGATTCAGTGTAACACCTAGATACACAGGCTTTGGGTTGTGGCCCAGCCTGTGTCTATTCAGGAAGCGGGGATCTGTTTGTTGGCCTTTGTATAGCGTAGATGGAAACTGTCTTTTATACTAGGTTTAAGTATCCATCTTTTGCAACAGCAAGCCTCTCTTTCATGTCAGCATTCAGGACTTCTTCTAGATGTCTGAAATCCTAGTCCTGTACTGTCAGACAGATGTCTGCATAGATAAAATGCCTGGCAGTGGTGTTGGGAAGGTCACTTGTGAAAAGGTTGTGAAGTGTTGGTGCTAGAATTGAGCCCTCGTGTAACCTGTTTTGGAGCCTCCAACAGCTTTTTTATTTTTTATGGGTTTTTTTCTGGCTGAGTGAAACTTGGAACCGGCAGCCTGTCCACAGCCATGACAACCCACTTGAGTAGGACCAATGACCGTTTGTAAAGTAGGCCCATTTGCCAGGCTGTGTCATACGCAGCAGTAAGATCTAGCAATTACTCCTGTCTTCTGCCTGGTGTGGAAGCCATTCTCGATATAGTTGTTGAGAGCCAGCTCTTGATCACAGGGAGTGCAATTTGGTCTGAAACCTGCTAGATGTATACTCAGGAAGTCGTCAACAGTAGGGGGGGTTCTTTGAAGGATAAGACTTCCAAGTAATTTGTGTACAGAGTTTAGCAAAGAGATGGGGCAGTAACTTGTTGGAAATCTGTGATCTTTCTCGAGTTTTTGGCAAGGGTATTACTTTTGTGCTGTGCCAAATGTTAGGTATCTTATTCTCCTGGATAACTCTAGATAGAAAGATGGCTTAACCATTATCTGCTAGGTTTTTTCCCCCAACTTCATCAGGAATTTGGGGGAGGTATTGTCAAACTCACAATATTTTACCTATTTTCATTGTTTTGATCACCCTTTCTGTTTCATCTTCAGTGAAAGGCTAGAAGTCTTATTTGGTTTCATATACACACTGTTTGTATTGCTGCCATTTTGTCTTCACCTCTCCTTCAACCTTTTTTGAAGGAGAAGTTGCTTT